ACATTTGTAGTTCCAATTTTACCAGGTAAATCCCTTGGTGTTTCCAAGAGTACTAAACAATTTAAGTCACCCTGCTGGTGAATTCCCCCAGATGGTTATTGATTTGAACAATGGAACCCTTCCTGAGCCCTCAGCACTAACCTTAATGCAGAAACAGGCAAGTCACCGCAATCCTGCTCAGCAGAGAAGGGAAATCTCCTTACGGCTACTGCAAGGCTGAGGCTTGAGAATCAGTGTGTGAATGTCACATGGCTGACACTTCACATGCTGCACAGCAACCTTTATAATCCCCCTGAACACTCCCTGCAAACTGTCAGGTTGGCCAGGACTCCCGTAGAATTCCCTGGACTCTGTGAGCAGCGGGAAAAGCAGAAAATAGACCCTAGAGAACTGCAGCCTGAGAGCCCACCCGGGAGTGAAGAAATGATCTGCCAATAACAGGGGCTCAGATTTACAGAGCAAAATGCAGTTTGCGAACGGTTCAGCGCAGCACATGGTGATAGATTTCTTTCCTGTGTGTAGTGCAAGGCCACCTGCACTCACTGGGAACGCTGCCACAAGATTGGGGGCCAGAAACACATTTCACTTGATGGTAGCATTGTACAGCTGCACACCGCCCATGCAGCTGTAATAGCCATTCCCTTCGCCTCTGAAAAATCAGTGCCACCCTGTCGCAGGCAAATTACATGATCCTGAACTGATGCAAGCTGAAATGCGTGTAAAAGGGTTTCTTCTCCCAGGATTCTGACATTAATGGTATTTGCCAGTGACCCTTGGGAGGTGTTAACTTGTTTTATGTCTGACAGCTGCCAACTGTTTTAATGGTTAATCTACTCTCTGCATCAGGGAGGCATCACATTTCAATTCTGTTTTGACCTTTCACAGATTGGTGCAGAAATGGGTTATGATATCCTGGGTCAGAGCTAGTCCAACGGGACTTCTCCACTGACTGCGTGATTACTTCTTCTCTTCCCGTACTAAAATGACCGTGCTTCGGTGAGAACATGGGTGAGAACATGGTGGTACAGGAATCAAAGAACTGCTACATGTGGCTCTCCTGTTTGGGCTACTGTCCCTAGCCCCATACTTGTGTCATAGGTGCCTTGCCGCCAAATTTGAGGTCCAGAGGGTATAAGACGGATGGGTTGTCACCCCTGGGGTGCAGTCTGGGAGCCATGAGAACTGCTGCACCCCTCTAACCACCCAACTGGGCTGGCCCTGTTTCACACTGCTTTGCTGGTGATTCAGTCTCTCCAGGCCCTGTGATCACCAACACTAGAACAGATGGTGCCACACAATGAAACAGAGCTACCTGAGAGTTTAGCGAACCTCCTAAATATAAACAGCAGACACCAGCCAATTTCTCTGTTTTGTTTCGAATTGTGTTGAATGTTATTTACATAACTTCATACATTTCACTGGTGGAAAGAACCACCGATCTTTGCACCTCAGCTGCTTCAATCTCCTACCATATCCTGGACCCGCTGTCTGAACTCTCCTTCCCCATCCCAGGCTGCCTTGCTTCCAACATCATGCTGGTTGCCAGTGTCATTTCCATACACCTCAGTCACCTGTGGATTCCACAACCTCCGAGCTGCCCCACGCTCCCCACAGCTCTTCCTCTGCAGAGTGTAAGGTCCCTGCGATCACACCGGCTCCCTTGGCTGGCAGGAGTAACACACAGGTCAGAAATCTCACACACAGGCCACAAATGCCAAGGAACCTATGCTGCTTCTCTTGTTACACCGATACACAGTGCATGGTGCTTCAAGGACTGCTGCTCAGGAACAACTCACAGGCTGAGAATTATGCACATTATATAATGAGAGCAGGCAACTCTGGGACATGTGAGGGCCTAGATCAATACAGCTGCCACATGCAGGAACCACTGGTAGCTGACAGAAACATTGGGCCACTGTGATACTCTGGGACGATTTGCTAGCCAGCTCTGTTAGTTATGAATGGTGAGGGTTGTACATTCATCCTTAGTGCAAAGATTTTATTGGGTGAAGTTATTATTTTTCTCACCTAAAACTTTTATCCATGCAGCGCCTTATGGAATCCCTCGGCTTCATGAAATAGACACCGAGTGTAACATTTCCAAGGCAGAGCAGTCACCTGATAATTATGGTTAACTTCAACGTACTCATGAATAGAAAATTGTTCCAATGCTTAATTAATTCACACCATTTAAAATGTACACTTTATTTCCAATCAGAAATTCTTTAACTCCGATTTGCAGCCGATGGATCGTGTTACACCTCTCAGACTAGCAGCCATGTTAGTCTGTCTCCACAAAAAGAAAAGGAGGACTTTTGGCACCTTAGAGACTAACAAATTGATTGGAGCATATGCTTATCACAAAAGCTTATCGCAAAAGTTTATGATCAAATGAATTTTTAGTCTCTAAGGTGTCACCATTACTCCTTTTCTTTTCGCTGTAACACCTCAGTATGCTAGCCTGAAAAGCCTATTATTCAATACTAGTTCCCAGTGTATGTCGTTTCCAACAGTTATCAAGTCACCCCTTAACCATCTTGGTTAAACTAAACAGATGAAGATCTTTGAGTCTATCACTATAAGGCATGTTTTCTAATTTGTACTAATTCTTGTGACCCTTCTGTGAACACTCTTCGGTAGATAAACATCCACTTTTAACTGGGGACACCACAACTAGACAGAGGATTCAAGAAGCAGCCACACCAGTGCCAAATACAAAGATAAAATAACTTCTCTTACTCTCCTTGAGATTCCAGTGGTTATCATCCAAGGACCACATTGGCTCTTTCGGCCACAGGGTCACACTGGAAATTCATGTTTATTATTCCTTCTTACCAACCAATACAGATTGCTCTGAATCAGTGACCTGTCTTCTTTATTATTTACAATCCCCCAAATTTTTTGTCATCTGTAAACGTCATTGATATTCAGGCATGAGAAAGGTTAGCAGCTGAGTTGCTGACACATGTTTCTTCTTACATTTGCCTGTTTACATCTGTAACTTATGCCTCAGACAAAGCTGGGTGCCTGCAAGAAAGTGTCTCACCAAAAGAAACAAGGGAGGTGTCAGGGTTCCCTCCCCACTCTGAAATCTAAGGTACAGATGTGGGGACCAGCATGAAAGCCCCCTAAGCTTATTCTTACCATTTTAGGTTAAAACCTGGTACGCGGCCACTACCAAGCGATTTAACAAAGAATCAGGGAAGAGCCCACTTGGAGACATCTTTCCCCAAAATATCCCCCCAAGCCCTTACACCCCCTTTCCTGGGAGGCTTGAGAATAAACAAGATGAGCACAAACCAGCCTTGATGTTTAAGACCCAAAAAACCCCATCAGATTCTTAAAAAACGGAATTTTGTTAGAAGAACAAAAACATATAAGAGAATGACTCTGTAAGATCAGAATGGAAAATAATCTCACAGACAGTCAGATTCAAAACATAGAGAATCCCTCTAGGCAAAACCTTCAGTTACAGAAAGACACAAAAACAGGAATATACATTTCCTCCAGCACAGCAAATTTCACAAGCCAAAACAAAGAAAACCTAATGCATTTTCTAGCTAGATTACTTACTAACTTTACAGAGTTGGAGGGATTGCATCCTTGATCTGTTCCCTGCAAAGGTATCACACAGACAGACCAAAACCTTTTCCCCTCTCCAGATTTGAAAGTATCTTGTCCCCTCATTGGTCATTTTGGGTCAGGTGCCAGCCAGATTACCTGAGCTTCTTAACCCTTTACAGGTTAAAGGATTTTGCCTCTGGCCAGGAGGGATTTTATAGCACTGTATGCAGAAAGGTGGTTACCCTTCCCTTTATATTTATGACAGGAGGTAACAGAGGTGCAGACCTGTAGCCCTAAACACCAATAGCCTTGTGGCCTTCCTGCCCATTCTGTTGAGCACAAAGTCATAACCTAGCCAGATTATATCTGTTTCTTTGGGGGAAACTTGGCTCCTTTCCAACATAGGAATGGCATTGTGGATCAGACCTATGGTTCATCTAGTCCAGTTTCCTCTCTCTGATACTGAAAGCCCCAGGTGCTGCAGAAGAAGTGGTAAGACACCAAGCAATAGTTGGATAGGGGGATGACTTATCCATCCTGAATGTGTCATCCTAATGTCTAACAGCTGGAGATAGGCTTGTGCCCTAAAGCATGTTCGAGGGTAGGCCTTTCAAAATATGTCTTTAGCTATAAATATTGTAAGTGGCTAATTTCGTTATCCAGGTAAATGTCCAAATCCTTCCTGATTCTCACTTAGCCCATGGCCTCAACTACCTCTTGTTGCAACGAGTTCCTCAGTTTAATTAGGCATTGAGTCAAGAGAGCACTCTTTTTTTATTAGTTTTGAATTTGCCATGTTTCACTTTTATTGAATGTCCTCTTGATCTTGTGTTAGGAGACATGGAGAATACATTCTCAATCTACTCTCTACCAGGCAGTATTTTAGAGATTTTCACATCTCCCCTCTAATTGATCTCTTTTGTAAGGTAACAATCCCAGTCTTTTTACCCTTTCTCCAGCTGAGAGCTTCCTCAGGCCCTTGAGCCTACTTATTGCCCTTGCCTGAACCCCTCTAGTTCTGCAATATCCACTGTGAGTATGGTTCTCAGTACTACACAGAGGAGTCCAGAGGAGGGTGAAACATCGCCTGACTGATCTCATAGCATTGTATTTTCTGTATGGTTTCCCATCCCTCTCCTCCTGGATGCCAATGTTTTTCTTAGACTTTAAAGTTCATCTGCCATTATGCTGCCCATTGACTTGGCTTCGTTAGCTCTCTCTGAGGACTTCTCTGGACTTGACTAGGACCTATATAATCTTGTGCCATCTGCATATGTTGCCACATCACTGCTCAACACCCTTTTTCTAGATTGGTAATAAGTATAAAACATTTGCCATACAGTTTGTTATAAATTGTGTAAACCCCCAATCCCCCTCCCACCACCCACTTGCTGTCCTTCACAGGCACCTTGGTCATTTCTGACCCTGATCGACACATGATGGCAGTTTTCAACCTCACACACTTTGACGCTTCAGCATTCTTTCTAATGGGCATCCCTGACTTGGAAGCTGCTCACATCTGGATTTCCATCCCTTTCTCTATTTTCTACATTATGGGCCTCCTGGGAAATTTCACGCTTCTCTATGTTATAGCCAAGGAGCAGACTTTGCACAAGCCGATGTACCTGCCGCTCTCCATGCTGGCACTGACAGAAATCGGCACATCTACTTCCATCGTGCCAAAGGTAATGTGCATCGTTTGGTTCAATTTGAAAGGTATTACTCTGGGTGGCTGTCACATCCAGATGTTCTTCCTTTATATGCATACTGTTATGCATTCAGCCATCCTCATGACAATGGCCTTTGATCGCTGTGTTGCCATATGTAACCCTCTGAGATATGCCATAGTCATCACCAATGCATGAATAGCTAAGCTAGGGCTAGTGGGTTTGATAAGAGCTGTTCTCTTCCTTCTTCCCAAGTCCCTGCTCCTGAGCAGGCAGCCATTCTGTGCCAACCGCATGATCCCACACACATGCTGTGACCACATGGCCATGGTGAAGATGTCGTGTGGCGACATTACAGTCAACAAGATGTACGGTTTGCTAATAGCATTTGTAATCACCATGTTAGACCTGACACTTATTGCCCTGTCCTATGGTCTGTTCATCACAGTATCCTCCAAGAAAGCCCACCAGAAATCTTTCACCACTTGCACAGACCATATCGGTGTGATGAAGATGTCTTATCCTTCCTTCCTCTTCTCCACTGTGACATACCGGTTTGGTCAGGGAAATGCTCCCCATCTTCACATCATCTTGACCAACCTATATTACCTCCTCCTCCCCATGTTCAATCCTATCATTTATGGGGCCAAAACCTTCGAGCTTCGTGAGAAATTGTGTAAGTGCACTTGCAGAATATGATTGCCCGGTGCCACTGATTTTAAGCCTTCGTGACAAGAGGGTGACATTATATCTTGTTAATCAAGGGTGCTCTGTCCTACTTTGGCTGAGCTCAGCACTGTGGAAGTTCAAGTGTGAAAAGCTCCTCACACCTAAGCTCTTATCACTGTCTCACCAAGTACTGATCTCTCTGCTGCTAAGTTCCCTCTCTCTCGCCATCACCTGATCTCTTTCAGTGTCATCTATCAGCCCTCAGCCCCAGAAACCCTGTCACTTGTTCTTTCCGTGACTTTCAAACCAACAGAAGATACGGTAGTTTTCTGAAGCAAGGTGGCGTTCCATTATACCCTGTTTGAACCGGTATCTTGTTCAGTTTGACAAACTGAAGCCATCCTTTCTGATAGCCAAAGACAATAAAGTAAGGACAGTGCTGAAATATACCTGATTTTTCTACGTCCAGTCCTTCTTGAACCTTGGAGGATAAACTCAATGTTACGGTTGGAAAATGTTAATACAGGAAAGGTGCTGCAGGAATTGAGGGCATTCTAGTAGAGCTTCTTGGTGAGAGTTTTGAAACGATGTGTTTCTGAGAACTGGACCACATTACTCTGAATTTGAGGGCAGTTTGTGAAACAGATGAAACAGAGATTGTCACTATATGTCCAGGTGATTGAATCGCTTGCCTTCCTGAGTCTTTCACAACCTAGATTGGCTGATATCTCATTTTTGCACATATACAATGATACAAAATCTGTTGTGAAGAGTTTGCACCAATGAAAGAATGATTGCACTGGTTACTGCTGATATGTATGACCAGAAGCATCCTACTTCCAGGGAAGACACCGAGGAGGAAATGTTGTTTTTTAGGGACTAATAGTAACAAAATAATGCATCTCACAATATGGACATTGACTAGCATCATTGAATACAATTAGAAATATATAATATAATAATAAAAAAGGAGTACTTGTGGCACCTTAGAGACTAACCAATTTATTTGAGCATAAGCTTTTGTGAGCTACAGCTCACTTCATCACGAAAGCTTAAGCTCAAATAAATTGGTTAGTCTCTAAGGTGCCACACGTACTTCTTTTCTTTTTGCAAATACAGACTAACACGGCTGTTACTCTGAAACCTAATATAATAATGTTATTGTTGTTTTTACACAACAGAAGTTTCGGGCTCCCTTGGGGCAAGGCCATTTTTAACAACATAATTTGCTATTTTTTCTTTAAAACACCACCCACCTATCAACCAGGATTCAAGGACGAGTACTGGGGGTTTGATTTTGAATTTGATTGTCATCTCATAGATTTGTAGGTTATGTGGAAAAAACTCCTTCTGGGGCTTGTAGCTTTCTTTTCTTTTCTTTTCTAAATCAGATCTATGCTAGGTATCTAACAAAAGGTTTCTTTTGTTACTTGATGTATAGAGCAATGCATTTATAAAAAAAAACCACCCCTTTTTTCAAGAAAGAGATTGGGCTACTTTTAGATTAGTTTTTAAGTGTTTTGGGGCTATTAAAGCAGTAAAATGTGGCAAACCTGATGCAGTACCTCAAGCTGAGCTGGAGGCAGAGCAGCAGCAGCCATAAAAAGAAAGGTCCAGAGAAGGATCCCTGAGGGGAGAACTTGGCTGTGGTCACAAAAGCAGCACTCAGCCATGTTGTGTCCTTGGGAGCAGCAGTTGAGGAAGAAATCACTTGAGACACAGAGAGCTGCGAGCCGTGAAAGCAGCCATCTATTTTCCACTCCCTGAACTAACCGAAGCAGCCCAAACTGGCTGGGCTACCCCCTAATCATCTAACTCAGTTGCCATAGCAACAACAAGCTGCTATTACCACGACAACCAAATATACAACATATTCCTCCCCCCTTCATAAAAACATCTCCTAAATAAAACAAACACTAAACTAGAGGAGGAGGGTAGACTGCCTGCATTCCCGGCTAAACCCCGGGGATTATTTTGCCCCATAACCGTGGGTTCACCCTAGCTAAAGATCCAGCCATTGGAGTGTTGTCCCCTTGCTGATTTCAAAGCTTGTTTCATTGTCTGCACAAATCTTTCAGCTAATCCATTGGTCGATGGATGATATGGTGCTGTAATGATGTGGTGTATCCCATTTGCCTTCATAAAATGTTGAAACTCCTGAGAGATGAACTGCGAGCTGTTGTCACTCGCAAGTTGTTCTGGCAGAACAAAACGACTAAAGAGTCCCCGTAGTTTTTGGATAGTACTCTCTGCAGTAGTGGACTGCATTCTGGAGACTTCTGGCCATTTAGAATGGGCATCTACCACCACTAAGAACATGCTTCCTTCAAGAGGGCCAGCAAAGTCAACGTGAATATGTTGCCACAGGTTTTCAGGTCAGTCCCAGGGGTGTAGGAGCACCCACTGGGGTGCATTCCTGACACCCTGACATGACATACAAGCTCTTGCTTTCTCTTCAAAAGCACTGTCCAATCCAGGCCACCAGAAATAGCTTTGTGCAATTTCCTTCATGGGCACTTTCCACAGTGACCAGAATGTAGCTGTTCTAACATCTGTGATCTCAGTTGTGGTGGGATAATGACACGTCTCCCCCACAACAAATAACCAGATTAGATCGATAACTCTGTCCTCCTGGACATGTAGGTAACAAGGTCCGGTGAGACCGGAGAGGTTCGTCGAGATTTTCCATGCATCACCAGGTCCATAACTTGGGACAATACTGGGTCAACGAGAGTTGCCTTCTTTATCTGAGTAGCAGTGATGGGTGTATTCTCTACGTGTTCAAAGTAGAAGACTTCCATTTGGGCAGTATCTTGATGTTTGACTGGCAAAGCAACCTTGAGAGACCATCCACATTGCCGAGAAGAGTGGATTTCCGATATTTGATTTCTTATGTGTGCGCTGAAGTAACAATGCCCAACGTTGCATACGACTAGCAGCTAACGGGGAAATGGCTGGGTAGAGTCCAAAAATTGACGTCAGAGGGCGATGGTCCGTAAGAAGAGTAAAGTTCCGCCCAAACAGGTCCTGATGAAACTTCTGAATTCCAAAAATGATTCCCAATGTCTCACATTCGATTTGGGCATAGTTAGTTTCTCCTTTGCTTAGAGTGCGTGAAGCAAAAGCAATAGGTCTCTCTTCTCCGGAAGGTATAATGTGTGACACGACTGCACCCACTCCATAAGGGGAGGCATCACAGACCAATTGTAGGGGTAGGGATGGATAAAACTGCGTTAGAACTTCAGAATTTAGCAATGCATTTTTAGCTTTGTTAAATGCAACATTACAGGCTTCAGTCCATTTCCAGGTCTGCCCAAGGAGTTCGTGAAGTGGTTTTAGCAGTGTGGCTAACTGTGAGATGAACTTTCCATAATAGTTCAATAGTCCTAGAAACCAGCGCAGCTGGCTAACATTTTGAGGTGGGGGAACCTCCACAATAGCCTTAACTTTTGCAGGGGCCTTATGAAGACCCTCAGCATCAATGATGTATCCCAAATATTCAGCAGAGGGCTGGAAGAATTCACACTTGTCTTTGCGGACTTGTAGGCCATACTCTTCCAGTCTTTGTAGGGTAACCTCTAATTTCTTTAAGTGATCCTCTTCATTCCTTCCAGTGACCAGGATGTCATCCAGATAGCACTGAACTCCTGGCAAGCCACACAAGATCTGGTCCATAGCCCTGTGGAACAGGGCGGGAGCAGACATTAAGGGTAGGCGACAGTATAGATAAAGGCCCTTATGAGTCACAATAGTCAACAGCTCTTGGGACTTTTCATCGATATGCATCTGTAAATACGCTTGACTCAGATCCATCTTACTGAAGTTTTGTCACCCAGCCAGGCCCACGAAGAGGTCATCAATGCGGGGAAGCGGGTATTGCTCTGCACACAGAACTGTTTTGACAGTGACCTTAAAATCACCACAAATCCGCAGGGAGCCATCTTTCCTCACTATTGGAATGATAGGAGTGACCGATGGACTATGGATAACTGGTATTAGGACTCCATTGGTGATCAGGCACTCCAAGTCCGCTTCAACTTTTGTCCTGATGGCATGTGGCACAGTTCAGGCTTTCAGATATTTTGGTTGACTGTCAGGTTTCATGTTCAGTGTGACAGTGATTCCCTTCATACTTCCCAGATCCTCTCCAAAAACAGTAGCATGTTTCCTTAGTATAGCGGTCAGACTGGTTTCTTCTTTTGTCCTTCAGTGCACTTCTGCCCAGTTCAGCTGAATCTTCCCAAGCCAGGACCTACCCATTCAGACTGGGTAACTACCTCTCATCACAAATATTGGCAATTTAGCAGCCTGTCCTTTGAGCTCCACCTTAACATCAATACTGGCCAACATGGGCACAGCTTCTCCCGTATACGTCTTCAGAACAGCTTTTGTTGCCTTAAACGGAAAATGCTGTAGCTTTTCTTTATACACAGTCTTAGAGACAAGCGAGAGGGCTGCCCCGGTGTCCAGTTCCTTGCGTATAGGTTTGCCATCCAACAACGGGGTTACCCAGTATTCATGTGAGCCCACTGCCAAAGACAAAACGTGGAGTGGCTCTTCTTCTTGCGATGAGGTGTCACCTTGGTCATTCTGGGTCTGCTCTAGGGTATACGTGTTCCCCTTTTTGGTCAGCCAGATCACAGCCCCTTTTTCTTTTGTTTACAGGCACACTCAATGTGTCCTTTTTTTCCCACAGTGTCGACACACCAGGTCCTTACACCAGCTTTGTGATGCCTTGTGACCCGGCTTACCACAGTGGCAACATTCCTGACTCTGCACAGTTTTGTGGGAAGGTTCTTGTGACATTTTATGCACCCTAGGGGATGCACCACTGGATTGCGCCTCCTTTGTAGCCAGTTCCATGGAGACGCAACATCCACAGCCTTCGGTAAGGGAAGCTGAGCCTCTGTCAATAGGTTCTTCCGTATAGCTTCACTGTGCAGGCCACACACTAATCTGTCACGCAGGGCATCATTTAATATCTCCTTAAATTCACGGTGTTTTGCTAGCCTTTTTACAGTTGCTACAAA